ATTCGGTCTCTGTCAACATTTGGTTCTTGTTTTCAGTTAATCCTAAATTTACTTGTACTGCACACAGAACATAAAATGTATTTGATTTGGAAGAAATGAAAAATTAAAATCCATTTCAAAAAATACACCGTAATTTATCAGTAAAATGGAGTACATCCGAGACTGATGCCATTGTAAATAACTGTAATTGCTGCACATAAAAGAGTTACGAGGGCTCTCACGTACTTATGTTTATTTAATGAAATTAAAATTAAAGACATCTGAATTAGATTTGGATTTTCGGAGCATTGGAAATACTTTATACATAGTATGAATAATGAAAAACTAAATTTATTTTATTAGTAGCACATTTTTTTATTTACACTATTTAAAAAACAAACACTAAATTACTACTTAAAAAGTATTAACTTTATTTTACTTCCTTTTTTGATCTGTACTAAAACACTTTTTTAACGTACTTACAGAATCCTTAAATCTGCTGACATGAGCAGCCCATTTAATAGCTCATCAATTTAATTTCCATTATTTGTGCATTATAGCTACCACACCCATTCCATTTTATTGATTTTATACAATTTTTCACTACTTCTCCAATGACTTCCTTTGTTAGGTCCAATAAAAAAGTCATTATGTTTCCATTATTCGACTTTTATACGCTTTTCCATAGTTTCGAACACACAGGATTTTTGACATACTTTCCTGACATAACCGTAAAATCATTTATTGAACGACAATAACAATAACAATTGTTTATAATTTTGTGGTGCTGGACGGAAGGACATAGGGACATAAGAATGCCTCAAATGGCACATAAACTCCACGATTAAAGCAACAACTTAACATTTATCGTAGTAGACTTTAATATCGATTGAAAATGCTTTCGATAAAAATAGTAGCAAAAATCGTATTTTTAATTCAAGAATATTTAAGTAAAGACAATAGGAAATATAGAAGAAGCAGCTGAAATAAAAACTTTATAAATAATTAAGTTTTTTTAATATTAAACGACTTAAATATTTTATACAAATGAGTAAGAACAATGAGCTATTAGAAGTAAAATCGATATTAGCAGTAATTTAAGAATTTATTTTTATATGACGACTTTTTCAAAGATGTGGTAATATACCTAATATTAGGAACTCATAACATTAGGCATTAAAAATACTTGTAATTTATTTTGGTTATCTGTAAGCTTTATGTGTTTAATCGTCAATTACGGTACCAATATTTGCTTGACAATGCCACAAAGAAACTAAATCAAATTCACGATGACGTTAATAAGGTATATGAATATATTTTTAATTGATACCTTAAATGAAACGTCTTATGTATTTTCCATAAATCTATCTTTTATTAGTAGTAAGTAGTTATTAATATAATTAGCTTGAAAAACTCTTCTGTATGGTGGTTACAAATATATACTCAAAAAAATTACAGGTCATTTTTTGGTATCTGAAGAAAACACAGGCAGGGACCTCATAGCTTTGCACTTATTCAGGTCGAAACGGAGAGAATACATAATGTTAATAAATAGACTAGCAAACAAAAGTAGGCGTTAATAATTATACCAGTATGGTGTTCTGACGGATATGTAAGAACTTTGCACTCATTCATATTAAAACGATTATGAGATTTAATTGCAATTCATTATCGACAAATAGAGAACTAGCATTAAAATTCTCACAGCCAATCTAATCTTAAACTATTATGTCAAATTTTAAGTAAAATTCTATAATTTTTGAAAGTGCTGTATGAATTTTTTAAATCAATAATAAATAATAAAATATCCACATAGAAAAAGTCATTTACGATATATTACTACAACTGCGGACCCAAAAAAACAGTTTTTGAAATATCTTTTAATTATAAGTAAAGAATAGGAATAAGAATTCTTTATAAGAATAAAGAATATAAAATATTTTGTAAGAAAAATATTGTTACATTCGTCTGTCCATAAAAAGCGAGTTCCCAATTTGAAAATGTCATATAGATGTACGTAGAAGTATTTCCATTCATATCACTATATGAGTTTATCTAGAACTAGACTTTTTTGTATACTATAAACTAGTTCACTTAATGTGATTAAATAATTAATTCTAGCATCCGCATGCAAGAACTGGTCCGATCAAAGACTATTAATTCAGTTGACCATAACAGCCGTAACTCGTCCTTGGTGCTAGAATCTATTGCTTACTGCCGCCTGATGGTTATATCGTTTGACTTCATATTGGTACCGAATCAAATACCTTTCTAGCCGGAATACATTCTTCTATTCGCACGTTATCAAACGAGAGAAGCCGCCGTATTTTTATGCGCTCAACTATGTCAAGGGCGTAACAATTTCGAACAATTTTTCTTTTGACTGTTCCTAGCGCCTTCTCATCACTATTCGTTATTGTCTTAGCTCCTGCACTAAACATCAGGACATGCATTAGAAAAGACTTATAGAGCACGATTTATAAGTGGACAGAAATGTCGAGTGCCAAACAAATTTTTATAAAATTATTTGTTAATTAAATTTTTAAATCCGAAGAATTGTAAGCATATGAAGAAGTTTCGGTTCGGAACTTGTATTTATGAAATTTGGTCCCATTTCCAGATTTTTTTTTAACATTTTCAAATAACTTATTTCGTTTGCGATAAAATGATTGTTTTTAGATCCGGTTTTTGATCTTCACATATTATTAGTTATGCAAAAGTTTATTTTAATTGCAATTTTAGTAAAAAAGACTTTGGCACCAGGTCAACATACGCTATAAGAGATATTCCATTAGTATTGTCGGCTATTTGTATGATTTATCATCACCGCAAATATTTGAATCTAGACCAAATGTTTATATTTAGATCTTCAATATTTCGTATTGTCTCCAGCTTCCGTTCCTGTTGGATATATTTCATGCAAAGTGTATTATTTTCATCGAGTTGAGCTTTTGTAATCTTTTATTTATTTTTTTTTCATTTGATGACTGCTTTATTTTAAAACATCTTAGGCTATAGCTAATGTGGCTTTTATACTCTAGTGGTTACAATAGCTGTATTCAATTGCTATAAAATCCGGGTAGAATCAAAAAGTTTCTTGCTAAAGTATTTAATTTGTAGACAAAAGAACACTATTCTCTTGCTCTAACAGTTATGAAGTCCATCTTTGAATTTAAATTGTTAATTGTTGAAATATAATTTTCCAAAGATTTCAACAATAATGGCATTATTGTCATATGTCATTATGTCACTTTGACAAGTGCTTTAAGTAAGAGCAGGTGATTTTAACAGGAGACTTTACCAAGAGACTTGCTGTTTTTTGTCGCACTTCGAAGTAGACGAATACACCTATTGTTATATTTACTGTCAGTGCTTAATTTTTAGGAATATCAGATTATATTTAATGATTACTTTATACTCAAAAGGTCACAATAACATATCAATGTAAAATTAAAATTTATTATCAACTGCAACACTAAGTCTCAAATTGAGAATTAAAATTTAAAATTTGATGTTATTTGCAATATTTGCAGATTTAAAATGCAGTAAAAAGTGGTACTTTAATTAAAGTTACACAATACTTAGTCATTAGAATACTAATTACCTTGCAAACATTAATTAACAAAAATATTCATGCTATGAAAATCTCAACCGAACAAATTTAATTTGTACAAAATGTACAAGACAAACAACAAAAAGCAGAGCAACTTACTTTATACAAATAAAATTGAAATGGAAAAAATGGACTAAACATACACACATACATACATATACTAATCTCTTAGCACTGTATGAAACACAGTTATACGAGTATACACATGTATGTGCATATTTATGCTGATGTATGTATTTACGTATATCAAATGTACAAAATTGCACCATTTAAAGACACATTTCACCCTCAAAATAAGTTGGTAATTGCTAAGAACTTACAAAGTTACAATGACTGCAACAAATTTACACGATATGCTGCTGCTAGTGCTTTCGTTGTTGCTGCTGTTGCTGTTGTTACTGTTGTTAGTGTTGTTGCCACTGTTGATGATGATGATTATAATGACGATGATGAGAAGTTTAATGTTGGTAATGAGGCGCAACTCATGCACAGAAAATTGTAGTAAATGAAAAAAAACCCAAACTTTTATAGAAAATGGCACACAGTCGTTGCTGGCTTACAGTGCCTTCTAACCACCCACACTCTGCAAGTGCCATGTTACTCTAAGTTGCGTTACGTACATAATGTGCATACGTAACAACACTCCATAATGGCTGTAATTATCCCTCGTTTTTTCAGCAATTTCTGAAAATTTTGAACATTTCACCATCGAATTTAATAAAAGGTAAGGGTTGTCATTAGAGAGCACAAGAGTATGAAATAAAACTTTGAAATAAAATTAGTAGGCACCCAAACTCCTAACGTTAGCCACGCCTGCTATTGTAATATTATTTTATAATGGACATTTTTCACTATACTAGCCGACACCCAGGCTTACTGCTATCTCGCTTCGACAACAGTTGCTGAAAAGTGTGCGCAAATCAAATACTCCATCTTTGTTGTGAAAGCGAAAGTAGACATGTGTGCGTGAAATAGAGAGCGTGAGCATGGTATATGTGTGAGCAAAGAGAGTTGCAGTAATTGAGCGCACGCATTTAAATTCTTTATCAATCAGGTTCCAATAAAGGTAATGTCAAATAAGAAAAAGTGGTTGAAAATTGTATAAGACAGTCGAAACAACAACAACGATACCAACAACAACAGCAAGAGCAGTGGCAATATCAACCAAATCGTTATTGAATAATGTGAATGTATTGTATATGACAAGAAAACCTTTGAAGTTTTATCACAGTCGTTTTCGCGATTTCGTAGCAGTAAAACGTATCGCGTTTGCCGCTAAATTGTTGAAGAATTGTTTGTGTTTTTGTGTGACAAATTAGTGCAAATTTAAAAACAATTTCAAAATTGAATTTTTACTATCAATGATTCAAAAAAAAGTTACTCTAAAATTCATTAATACTCAATTAAAAAAAATAAATATTATTAAAAAAGAAAACTAAAGTCAAAAAAAAAAACAAACAGTATTAAAACAAAATGTCAAGTGCTCAAGTGTCACAACCGCCAACATTACAACAGTTACAACAGCATCAACAACAACAACAGCAACAACATATATCACATTTTCTGAATCATATAGCCGCTGCTCAGCATCAGCATCATCAACAACAATTACAACAACACAATCTATCACCACAACGCAGTGATTATCAAAATGATAATACACGCTCAACAATCTCGCCACGATCACCAACACATTCCAATAGTCCAACTCATTCGCCAAGTCCTTCACATTCCACAACTAATTCACCACGCAGTACGCATAATAGTACAATAAGTCCACAACCAGAAACGCCAACACAAATGTCGACTTCACTGCAACTAACAGCACCTAATGGTAACTTACCTTTACTTGTGGCACCAATGCCAGCACTGCCACACGGTGTAGCAGTAACTGCAGCACCATTAAACTTACCACCTCCACCACCAAATATCAGCAACAACTTACGTGATCAACGAATTTTCTCACCTCCGCTTTCGCAGCCGCAAACAAACCAAACGCATCGCTTATATGACAGTTTTCCAGCTAATGCACTACCAGTGCCGCATCCAGCTTTAGTCAATGGCTGTTATCCTATGCCTCGTTTGCCACTCACCACAGTCATGTTAACCCAACAACAAGCGTCGCCCGCTTCACCAAACGCCACCACTACACCTCCACAAAGTCAACCGAAAAAATCATTTTGCATTGATGCTCTATTAGCAAAGAATCAAAATGTTAATGAGACACAGGACAATGCACATGTAAAAAGCGATGCTGCCATTGACGAAAGATTGTCCGCTTATTCGCACGTTGACTTGAATGCTATTAGCATGAGTGAGCAAGAAGCAATGCAGAGAATACGTGAATCGCGTGAATACGATACGCCTAGTCCCGACGGCATGTCAAGGTGAGTCTGATTAATTAATTTAAATTTAATTAAATTCATTAGAGATGTGGGTTTTATTTGAAGAGTTCTGTTTTTTGGTAAATTGATATATATTTGCTAAGTACTTACTTTAACATATCTATGTAATTAATTTTTATAATTAAGAGATAATTAAATAAGCCCGGCTTACTTGAATATTTGTGTTCAAAAATTTAAATAACTTTTAAACAGATTTTTGAAATATAACTGATTTGTAATAAGTGGTTCATATATATTTCCAATTAAGTAGAATTTATTAAGCGTTAAGATGAGGATAAATTAGATATATAATGTGCGACATTTATTAAACAAAATTTAAAACTTTTATATACACCACTCATACAATTGTAATTTTAAGACTAGTTTAGGTAAATGTCCATCTTCAGTATTACCACTCCTATCAGGTTGTTTTAGTTAATACTCATAACATTAATATTAATTATTTATAAAAAGAATAGAGTAGATTAATCAGCTCTACCTATATATAAAGATAAATATGATATGGTTGCAGTAACATATTAGCACTTTACTTCCTGTTCACCTTAATTAGCAATGTTGCGCTGTTTTGCTACCACTTCCCTCGCAAGAAATCTTAAGATATAAAAGGACTAAAACTAAATCCATCCTGTAGAATTTAGATAATTTAACAGATATTTTGTCTTCACCGATGAACAGTCTGTCAAACTGTCATCAAAGTACTTTCCCCAGAACCTATTTCTTTTGAAATGAAAAGCCAAATATGACCCAAGAAAAATGTATATGTGATATATAAATTATTTATTGTGCGTCAACTCAATCTTAAATATAATAAAAAAGAAAAGAAATAATGAAGATTCAAATCAGCTAATCTCGATTTTTAAAACATACCTACATAAATTTTACAATCCTATTGGAAAGTATAACACATAGAAGTATTATATATTACAAATATTTTATTGACATAATATACCACTATTTCAACAATTAAAGATTATAACTATCCAAAGTAGTGTCATTAACCAGAACATGGGCTTTTGATGTCACATGTGTTTAGGAGTACTAGAATAATGATAAAAATTTTTTGGAAAATAATGATTATTAGACATAGATTAAAAACACATAAAGATAAAAAAGATTAATATTAGTTTAACTACTCCATTGTGTAAATTATTATCTCACTTCAATAATTGTATGATGCTTATCATGGCTAGTCCACAAAAAACTACTGTAGACTTTGAAGAGTTTTGTCAGGATATATAATAGTTTTAGAAATTTTGGTTATACATTTTAGAGTTCATTTTAGAGTTCCAGTTTTAAAATATTTCTCTCTATAACTCGACTCGACTCTATCCAAAGAAAGCAAATCATGTTTTCAAAAAATCAGATATTACTTATGTTGACTACGCATTCCCGTTGAGAAGATTTGTGAATGACAGTCTATGCTTCATTTGATTTTTATTAACTACATTAGTGCTTTGGACATCAGATGAGAAACTAAATCTGAAGAAACCTAAGATATGGGGTTAGATATGCATGTGTACTTTAACATAGTGGATTAGCTTCACATCCCTTTGAAACTAAACCAGAATCGGGAAAAGGTTTTGTTCTTTCAATGATTTTTAAAAGTCATTGCCTAATTTCAGTGATATATTCGGATAACGAATGATATAAATACTTAATTAAAATAGCTGTACTTAAAATCGATTCTGAGAAGAAGAATGCAACCAAAATAAATAGCTCAAGTAAAAGTTTTTCTGGTCAACAAACTTAGAACCTGTAGTCAAATTTTGGGCTATAGTGAGACAAAATTGGTATAGGCGTAAATTACCAAAGTAAAAATCACCTTTTTAAAACCATGCGCTTTAAGCAGTTTTTCCGACATTTTCTTACTGATTTCTTACTGAACCTATATAATTCCAAGATAACACAAGACGAATTAAGGTTATGTAACAGAGATATATTTACAAATCTAAGGTAATGTAAGTCCAATATATTTTAAAAAATAATTAATCTTGATTACACGTTACCTTAAAGTTAGTTCCAATTTTAAACTGTACTTCGCGTAACAAATAACATCCAAGTGAATGAGATGTGAATAGCAAGCAAGCGAATTAATTTCGAGTGATTGAATAATTCAATGCAAAAGTGAGACTAAAACCTAAATATCAGGCAGAAGTAGTTGTGATCTGTGGTATTTACTTAATCTTTTATGTGAATGTTTAAATCCCAAAATTATTATTTACGAAAATCTGGAATTAAACGATCTATCTAGAGGAAGATTTTTGGTATTTCGATTCACTAAAGATTGTTTCTTTAATTATTTTTCATTGCTGGCAAGATTTTATTTTTAAATAATTTTTTGCACTTTTATTGTTTAAATACTGAATTATATATTTACGTTATATTTTTACCCAAATATTCTATGGAGAATAGGTAGCCTATAGAAAGTTGTTATTAAGACTAGTTTTGAACATCAAATTTTGCTTCTAAGAGGTGGTAATAGAACTATTCGTTAAATATTTAAAATAACTTTTCAACTAATCAATGAAATAGAAGAAGAAACTTAGAGACAGAAACACATATGTGACCATTTATTATCCCTATCACCGAGAAATTGAACTACTACTTTACAGCGATTTTTCGTTTCACACAATAGTCTCGTAATATGATTTCTGATTATTAATGAGTCATAAAAATTATTACAAGGCTATTATTATGTATTAATTTATGTTATATGTATAACAAAGTATATAGCAAATCACAAAAGTAAAAATTTAATAATTGCTTTATGGTATATTCACTATTAAGTCCGGCTTGTATATAAATATGTTCATTCACGAAGTTACGATTAATGCTATATATGTATGTATACTCAATCAAAACCTTTTATATATATATTTTTCTTAAGAAACTTATTAAACTTACTATAAAAACCGTTTAAAATGCTTTACATAATTAAATAAATCCTAATTGGGTTAATATAATATTATTTACGTATACAATCCATTATTACATAGTGATTTTGAATCAAATATTACATATTCAATTTTGAACAACGACGAAAAGAAGGTCTTAAATAATATTTACAAAACTAATTCAGCAATTGAAAACTGCTTTTCCGTCACTTAAAATCGACATTTTTTAACCGCAAATAAGCTTAAAATTCAATGTCCGTCTTTAATGGCTGAAATCCTATAGAAAAAAACAGCACCGGCCTGTAATTAAATTATTACATGCGACTATAAATGAATTGTGATGGGCCAACCGCTGACAACTCGCATGTATTATTCAACGTTTTGAAGTGCTGCTAAATCAGCAGAAATGTAAACGCAAATAAACATAATTGCGAAGCTTTTGCGGCTTTTAATTAATTGATTTTAAATAATTTTTTTCTATGAACTGTAAATGAACAGGTGGGGAATGGTGTTGCAAATCTGCTTGTCTAATGGCAGGTATGTTATAGGCATTTTGTGTCCAAAATGCGTGTGAACATGTTATGTTTACTTAAAAGCTTAGATAATTGATTTGATTGGATCATGATTGACAGCTGACTTGGTTGATGGACTTGACAAATCTGACAGTTTTTGCTTTTTATACACAATATACTGGGTAACTAGTAGAGAATTTAAGTTTAGCATTTTTTTACCTTTTTTCTTTTTAAACAGTACAAAATTATATTTGATCAAAATTATAAAAATTATAAATAAAATCAAAATTATACATAAAAATATAATCAAATAATTTAAATTATTTTAAATGTATTTAAAAAATTGTGAGGAAATTTTGATCTCCGGTCTCAGAGACAGAGAGATCTAATATATAATAATACATAAGCAATATATAGGGACGTTCAAGTTCTATTGTCCTGTCACACGAAATATTCTTTAATTAAAAATTGGACAGAGGGGAGAATAATTAGCAAAGCAGGTTCGTTGAAGCATATTCGAAGATGGACCCTTAAATAATTATTCTTACAATATTATGCCAACTAATTACAAGCATGTAACATTATCTTTCCTTTTCTGTTATGTGCAATAGCTCTTATTCTTTGTAAATTGTAATTGCAAAGTTCTTTTAGGATATCAGTCTTTAAAAATTTCATACAATTTCGTAACAGGATATCAGTTTCAAGATTGTAATTACAAATAGCTTCTTGAATATCAGTCTTTTAAAAACCTCCCGAAAATTGTTTAAAGATATTAGTCCTTAGATGGCTGAAAAAATTAGTGTATTAGTGTACATTAGTGTATACATTAGCCTCTACATTAGAGGCCTGTAGATCTTTCTTTATAGTTTCATTTCAAATTAATAAACTCATTTTATAAAACATCTTGCAACTAATTGATTGGTGTTTGCACTCAAAACATGAGTGTTTTAATTGATCTATTCCAGTATTCTGTGACTTTTTATAGAATTAAATTGTATATATATGTACTCCTGTGCGTAATTAAATCTCAAAATTAACTTTTTAAATGTTTTCACATGTATAATATATTTTAGCAGTACTATGATATTTTATTTTATATTAAATTTATATTGTAAAAATAAAAATTATTTAAAACAATATCTTTTTATTGTACATAATTTGTTATTAAAAACCATAAACCCTAATTAATACATATATCACTAAGTCAATTTATTCCAATTTTTTTAAACACTTTTTCAAATGATACATTAGTTTAACTTAAAATTTCAATGTTTATTTTCTAATGTATATCTTTGGTATTTTCAGATCGGAATCTCCAACCTCATCGCATCGTTCTAGTCCGCCTATAAGTCCCGGTTGTGAAGATCAACATCATATGGGCATGCGTATGGATTTTCATGATGAATTCAAAAAACCTATACCACCACATAGTCCAATTAGGCCTCAAGACTTTCCTTTATATGCTGGTGGACATCCTTATCAATTACTAGCTCAAGGTGGTTCTGCATTTCATCGCCCACTGGATCCATCAGGAAAACCCATACCGGTGAGTAAACACCAGTTTAACAATTGTTTCATAAATTTGTTTATAATGCAGAATCATAAATTTTGAACAAAAATTATTCAAGAAAATTATATTCTAAATAATATATATATTTTTTGATCCTTTTTACAGATTCCGATGGGTCATAATTTTATGCCTTCCCACCTGCAGTTTGAATTTTTAGCACGTGCTGGTATGCTACACCATCGAATACCCGAATTAGCCGCCTATCCTCATCATGCCATACTAGGTAAAACCCGTCGGCCACGTACAGCATTTACCTCACAACAATTACTAGAACTTGAGAAACAATTTAAGCAGAATAAATATTTATCCCGCCCTAAACGTTTCGAGGTAGCTAGTGGTCTGATGCTTTCTGAAACGCAAGTAAAAATATGGTTTCAAAATCGACGCATGAAATGGAAACGATCCAAAAAGGCTCAACAAGAAGCTAAAGAACGTGCCAAACAACAACAACAACAAAGCTCCAATGGAGCTGCCAGTTAGTAATTGTCTTCAGTCCATATAGTACTTACCGACTAATTGAAGTAAGTTGAGTACTAAGATACATCCAAAGGCAATTGTTATTCTAGTCAAAACAGCGCTTTAAGTAGTCTATACCGAAGCTACCAAACCATAAGACACAAAGAACCGTGTGAACACACTTTCAGTAGCGGACTTTGTTATTTGCTTGCTGGTGACACCCTGTAAGTGCTTTATGCGTAGGTAATGTGTTAATTAACGCACTATTTTAACACGTTTGCAATTTGTTTAATTTGGTTTCGTGATTCTGAGTCGCTGATGTTGTCAAATTAAAATTACGTTTGAATTTACCATTTTTAAGGTTTTTTGAGATTATGCGTGCGTATTGCAAAAAAAAAAATAAAAACAATTTAACAAAATTTTCGCATTGTGTGATAAAACAAGTAATCTATTAGTATTAGAACTTTATGTAAAAATAAAAAGTTGTAAATATAATTGTAATTATGTAGAATATATTACAAATAAAAATTATTTAATTATATTGTAAAATTAAAAACTTGCATTGTTTTAAAAAGTTCAAAAATAATTTCTAGATATAAATTAATAATTAGGCTCATTCGGGATTTAAAAGCTTTAAAAGTTTAGGAGCTTTTTGGCTACTTAAAATTCTTGTATAAGGAGTTCCATTCTATATTACTAAAATTCTTTTTGTAACCTTAGAGTATATTTCGAAGGGCTCACAAGATAGCTTGTTCAGCATTCTTAGGAGCTTAAGTCTGAATATGGGATATAAAGAATATATTTTATTGAGTCGTAGTCCTCGGAAAAAGGGGGTAAAAAAGCAATAAGATAAAAGCCATAAAAGTTGGATATAACAAGTAAAAAAATTATAGAAAACCTTAAAACCTTAATCCTTGTAAGCTTAACTCTACAATAGTTTTTAAGCCAATCTGGGTAGTCTCGTTTTGAAATATAGCTTTTTATAAAACATGTAGGCTTTTTAAATTGAGAACAGACACATTAACGTATTAAATATTTTACATTGAAGGAGAGTAGCACCGGATTGAGGTGATTTTAAATTTTTATTTTTAAGCAGAGCCATAAACAAAGTTATAATAAATATATTATTGGTATACAAATGTTACAGTTCTCTTTAGTAAATGGGTACATTTTAAATTATTACTTAAAAGTTTATATTATTTTATTCACTTTTACAGTTTAAGATTATATAAAGTTTGAGATTATTATCGCAGATAACACAGTTTGGTAAAGACAATAATTACCAATTATTGATCCATGCTCTTTCTGAAAAATGTAATGATGATAATAAATGCAAACCGAGAGTGTTTCAAAAATGTTACTCATATTAACAACATCACAACTCAGCTTCTATTACTTGCAGTAGGTGAGTATGATAACATAAGATGATATAAGCACTGTATTGGACTCAGGTGTAAAGACGATTCACTATGAATCGCGCAATGTGCGAAATGAAGACATTGTGAGTTTTTTGTGAACTTGAACTCAAATATTGAGATAGGCTGCTTTGGGCTCACATTGTCGAAGGTGCTCAAATACCTGAAATATAGAAATTGTGCATATTTTGTAAATATTTTTGCGCCAACTTCGTTATCATTACGCTAGAATTTCTAATATAAACTTTTAAGACCTTTTTTTTTGAATTGGTATTGGTAATTTTTTGTTATAGGTATTTATATATAAAAGTAGTTCGTAGGGTTAACGCAGTTTTTTTTTTTTTGGTTAATTAAATACCAATGTTTAAAAGTCTGGACTCCATACATACATATTTCGACACTATATAAATTTTAAAATATAAATTTCAATATAATTTTAATGAATAGAATAAAATGAAGTATAAACGAGCACAACAGAGATAATAAAATTTTTTAATAGTAAGCCATAACTATTTAGTTTGGGGATTGAAGTTCAAGTATGCCATATTATTGGAATTACCTGAGTTTGGAGTTATTTTGGTTACTTGTTAACATTAATCAGTGTTTTCTTCTCTTACGTATATTTGTATTGAAAGAGTTAAGCGCGTTATCAAATGATCTAGAAAATATCCAGTATATTCCATTAATTAAATAAACAACGCTTAACAAGAACTTTCTTCACAATGTTTTGGAAATAAACAAAATTAACAGCAAAATAATGGGCACAGATTGGAGAAGCGTAACTTCTACTTCCTCGAAAAATCGGCATCCTTGGGCCAGTAAAAATACTGCTCACTTATTGGTAAACATATTGGCTAACGAAAACTAGCGAAAAAATCATAAAATTATATATGTATATAAGCATACAGTTTGAAAAAAATTGAATTTTCTAAGAAATTTTTGTCGGTTCCACCATACCTTTAATACCGAGCTCACTTTACTTATAAAATAAAGAATACTAAAAATCTATTCGCTACCGTTGAACTTTTAAATATGCTCTGTTTGGTAGTGTTCATAGACAGGTTGTATGACTGGAGTGTGTTGGTTCTAAATTAATGAAAATCATATTATTACCATTAGTCGCATCCAGCACAGTACTATATACAACAAGTTATTTTGTCATCTGGAGAACTTTTGGTATCAAAGGAACTATATTACTATTCTAAGAGAAATCAACAGGTAATTAAAGAAAGTTTTCAATTACTACATTATCAACAGAAAAAGACTTGAGCTGTGATCACTTAAACCGCGAACTTTATCGCGGAAAGACCATTTTTAATGGAACTATTTGAAATCATTAGTTAATAATGATTCTAATCAGAGAGGCAAACATTGAATAATTGTTTTTGTTCTTGTTAATTTAAAAAGTTTGGAGCTTTTATATACAGCAAGAAGAACATGTTTTATAGAAATATGTGAAATCATTAGTCTATGTGCAGAAATCAACAATAAGTCTATCCTTTGAAGTATCAGTTATTATAAAAAAAAACAAAAAATGGGGACTTTATTATAAAGTTTTTAAAATGTTTTCGTAAAGGCTTTTCCTATATTGATCGAAATCAATTTCGTCTTAAATGTCATAAAAATATATATCCAATAACAAATTGTATATTCTCCTTCAATTTGAAATCCTCCACTCCTTATGAAACATTCTACATTATGAAATATTTATTTTTTTTATTTATTATACTTTATATAATTATATATCATATGTACTAATATACTTTATTCTTTCTTTATTATAAATATATTAAAGACTGGATATTCGTATTATATTATTACTATATCTAATTAAAATTTTAATGTCCTATTGTTATTCAAATACTAATTTTAAATATAATTTCTTTATATGAATTTTGTATAGAAGTCGTTAAGTATCTATTAGCTAATTTAATTGATAGCAGATGTAATCAACAAATGTTTATCCAATAAAAGATTATAATCAAAATGAAATAAGTGTGAAATAGGCTATTGAAAACCTTCAACCCGGTACACAAGCACACTTATTCCTTTTTGCACCAACAAATAGGCGTGCATTAGAACAAACAGTGAATGGCTGAGATGATCATTGTCATAACATCAGAACACTGCGTACCAAATAATTGTGAAAGAAGCCTGTCCACTTCATCACGTAGTTCACGGAACGACTTTAAGTGCCATCGAAATTGTAGAAAAACGTGTACGGGAACAAAAGCTGCGTAACGCTCAAAGCAAACACTAGACAAGAATCCATAACACAGCAACATACCAGGGCGATGATGACGTTGAAGTTGGGGATTATTACTTGAGCGATAATGGCTAATATAAATTCATTTATTTGTATAAAATTTAGATTTGTAGCTGAGGCAAGTATCGAAGTCGTATCTGTGGTGTATGAGAATTTTTGTTGTTTATGTTGCAGCATTTGTTGCACGGAAAATATTTATTGTTTTGATGTGACTTGAAGTGGTGAAGTGGTGTCTTCACCACTGAAATGCGGTGATGACTGTTGAGTAATGAACGCTATTAAAATGGAAGGGTTCAATATTTATAATAATAGTGAGAATGTTGATCATAATGTTGTTTCTCTATAGATAGAAAAATCTCAGACTATTTGTGGGTAATTTATAACAAATTTTTAGGGTTTGAATTTTAAAATTGAAATAGTGTCACAACACCAGAAGAAGGGTTCAGTTCGTTCTATTTTGTGTAACAACAATAATATTTCATTTTTTTGGCCGATGACAAATGTTATTTGCCACATCTGTTGCAAATTAATGTTACATTATAATTCTAATTCTACACAATCAAAGAAATAATTCTTTTTTATTTGTTTGATATGTAAGCGATTTGATGAAATACTGCAGTAAAATTATATTAAACACCCTACAAATTAGAAAGGAATAGTGTTAAGCTCGTTTGACGACAGCATACGACTTCTAACACCAGCCAAAGTAAACGGCTTAATTTTGTGATCCTTAAACGCCACGGGGTGCTTTTGTTACACTTTGACTGACAATTGTGGATTTATTGAGCATTTAGAATGCATAAACGTTGTAAAATGCTGCAGCAGATACATTTTCACTTCATTTGTTTATTTGGCATATTGTGCGCAAACATAAGTGAATGCATCGGGCATTCACAGATGTGTAAATATATTGCCTGAAAACCCTGAAACAAGCGCTGATCTTCATGTCAACACAGATGATCACATTTTACACAGAATTTCATACAATTTTGCTTACAATAAGGATTTCTGAATATTCCTCCAAAATATTACAATAAATTAAAAGCATATTTGCACATGCGAGTGCGATTGCGATTGCGAGTGTATCTATACCCGATGGTGCGCATACGAAATTAGCCCATAAAATCCTATTTAATTTATAGATTTGATGAATATCGAACTCTTTATTTACATTGCTATTTTTGGGTAATTTGTATCACTTGTGCATAGATACTGATACTGTACTCATATACCCACACGAATTACTTACATATGGAAAATATTCTACATGGTCGTGTAAGTGAAAATGCATTCATTTTTGGTAACTTTTATTATATTTAAATTAATAAATCAAAATTATTTATTTAATAAGTAATATATCTTAATATCACATATAATGAAAACTATGATAAAGTGAAAAAATGTTTGTTTTCAATTTAATATTTAAATACCTGAATTTAATTAGCTAATTTTTTAAATAGATTAAGTATATCAATATACAGTTCAATGTATTAGTTTATAAAGGTGAACTTCGAATTAACTTATATCAATTGTGTAAATTGTTCCTATATATCTACAAGGAGTTAAAAGCATTTGGAACCTATAATTAATAGTAAAATATTTCTTACGTTCCTACTACTAGAAAGATGAACTACATTATGCATGTACTCGACAATAACAAAATGGATATAAAGCATTTTATCTTCTTAACAAGGAATATTTGATGTTAAGTTTTTTTAATGTTGACATACTAGAACACCAATATCTTTATAGGACCTTTCGGCAAAACTGAGTCCAGAATTTTTTTAAAATGTAGACTAAACCTATGGTGTTCTTAGCACACGTGTCAGTATTCGATAAACGCTTCTGTTGATCTTAAGGTCACACCATTCGATTGAAATATGTTACACTAAATCGAATAAAAGTAAATCAATATAGTCATTCTACTCGCGAAAATTTCAATTGTAACCATAGTCATAGTGATACTCCCCTTTAGAAACTAACCTCTATTAGCTAGGACAGCTAAAGCTGTGAACCCTGACTTAGGTGGTATTAGATACACAGCCCCGGTCGGGTACAGCAAGTGAAACTTTTTAGTATCAGATAGTATCACATAGAGCTTACGTAGCCGTCTCTTATTTTAACTCGAGAATATTCTAACCCCTATACCGAAAAGGGTTCTCAATAAGACAAGCAAAACTCTATGTTATAACTGACGGATGGTTAAACCAAGGCCATTTATGCCAGTGACACGAACAAAAAATCATGGGAGATTTGGGTTTTAATAAAGATTTATTTCTGGATATATGGAGTTAAGTCAACCATATTAGTTTCGATTTGATATTATTGTTAGTTTCCATTTGAAATATTGTGTTTGTTCTTCAGTTCTTAAGAGTTGTTGTGAGTTTCTTATTATAGAATAAATTTTAGGGTTAGAAGAGGAGTAGAGTGGAGAAAATTCCATCCAAATTTTTGGTACCAAATTGGTAAATTTGTAGCAGTTTAATCGAGAGATTATTTTGCTAATAACTGCTATAAGTCTTTTCATACATTTGAACATTTGCATTATTTTTTCTTTATATAATCGTAATAATATTGTAAAATATAATCAATCAATTCGAAAGCTATACACTTTTGGGTTTTGCAATAAATGTTAATACGAATCAACATTACACTCAACATTCACACTTATGTATTATAACATTAAGTGATAAAACTAATATTAAATGATATTAAATTAATTTCATTTGCTTTCCACTTTTACCAAAAAATATAAATACAAAATGTCACTTGCAAAATTTTATTAAGCAATGATTTTTCAATCAATAAATAGTGCATTAATATTTTGAATCATAATCACAGTCTTAGACATACTCGCATATATACCATAAACTATCTAACTATGAATTTTATTCTTCAGATATAGTGCCTTTTTAAAGTACTTGCTTGCGTAACTTTTATTAAATGAAGTTTAATTTTAATTTAAACACATGTAAGTCCTTGAAGTCCTTGATATCCTTAAAAAAACATAAGAATTTTTTAAAAAATCTGCACAAAAGAATTTGAACATCAGTTGGGTGCTGCTCACCATTGGTACCATTCTTATACAGAAATTGTAAAACAATGCATCCATAGACTGGTAGAATTTTTAAGAATAGCATCAAATAAAAAGGTTTTTATGTATTTATATATAAATTTATACGTCATATACAATAATGTAGTTACTGACTAAACTTTAAATATATGTTGATCTCAATTGTGCACTGAGTAAGCATCATAAAAATAATTATAAAAAAGTTTGGTATTAGTCATTTCGTTATCAAATCAATTTATCATCAATAAAACCATTTAATGCTTCTCTACCGCATTTTTATTGTTTACATAATCCATATGTCACATTTTTACAAACAAACAACAAATCCATCCAAGCAACCATCTAACCAACCCAACATTCCAGCCCACCCGCTCTAAATTTAAAAATTAGCTTGCGCAACCCATCAACTAACGGACAGGACTTTACAAATTAAAGCGAACTCAGATATTTTTGATTTCAATTTAATCGCCAGGAAATTTTGCAATCAAAATTCTCTAATGTCAGCGCTAATTGTCACTGATGAACAATCAAATTGCACAAAATTAATGCTAAGCGCATTTCACTCACTCAACGCAATATCGGAGCCCAGGCACGGATGCAGATACAATGGCAGCTCTGCGTAGATACGTAAATTGTCACCATATGCGTCAACACGCAATAATTCACCAGAAAAATAATTCAAACAATTGACCATGGATGGCTTAGCGACACAAATGGATGGGGTGTGGATGATACATAAACGTATTGCTAATGACTGGTATCAAAAATTTTGGTATTTCCGTATTTGGTGCAGTAGAAAATATTGCCCTCCTGTTGATGATGTTCAGGATTTACACCAGCCACGATGGGTGTTGTTGTTGTTATTGTTGTGCTTGCGTTAATTGAATTCATTTCGCTGATCAAGTGTTTTCCAAGCCAACAAAACTCAACAACCCCCGCGATACATTCTAACACACAAAAATGTAACGTTTAATGAAAATTAGACAACCTTCTGCTGAGATAATTACGATGAAGTGCAAACATTAAGGGGAATTATTACTCGTATGAAGAGTCTGATTCTATTGCAGAGATGGGCAATTTTGTATAGTTTTAAAAATAATTAAAAATAAAAGAGATTATATAAAGTAATGTTAAAAGATATTGTATGTTAGATTTTTTCAAAAAATTATGGTAGTTTATAGATCAAACAGTTTATAGTTTTTCCTAAAGTAGAAAATTGGATATATAATTATAATGACATTAATGATACAATAGCAATAGTCACTGATAGTTTTCTAAATTATGATATATTAGTATTTTTGTCGCGATTCCTTAATTATCACAATTTTATGATAGAATGACAGAATGTTAATATTATAACATAAGCAAAAAAAAATTAAGGTATAATTGTGAAAGATTTTGACTTCTCTGGTGGCACAATATTACAATAGATTTTGATGTATTTCAATATTCTATGTTCTTCAGGCATCGGTCTTTAAAGTTATTGATAAGGACACTTAGCTATGTAAGGCTGTATTGATGATCAAACGAACCCGATACACGCGACGCGAACAGTAATAATATAGTTACAAGCGTTTAAGTGCATACAATCATATGTTTTGAGTTGGGCAATATATTATATTATATGCTATATGTTTAGTATAACATATACAGCGACTTAAGTGATTTAAGCTACTAAAAATAAACAATTCAAAAATGTTCGTTTTTAAAAATTTAGTTGTTTGATGGACCCAGAACCTTTCTGCGGTGTAAACAAAGGAACTCTATCCATTCTTATGACCAGCACAAAGGAAAAATAAAGAGACCTCTATTGGGAAAGGGTACCAATACTATCACAATCAAAAATGCTTTTATGGACTTACAAATTAAAACGTTTCAAAAATTGCATAAAACAAATAAACAATAACCTAAGAATTATTGCGGAATTACTAACCGATCACCTAACAAAGTTACGAATCCAATCCAACTCATAGAGCAGAAATTGTTGAGAAGAGAAAGAAACCACATACCAAGTGCTAGAGGAATGCCCTGCGCTGATGCACAAGCGAAAGAAAGACCTAGGACGTATCTCATGAAATATTTAAGACTAGAAAAGATAGGCCCTATACTGTCTTTCATTAAAGTAATCGGACTTGGAGAAACACTGTAATCCCTTTTTCATAATAATAATTTAATTACTTGAGTATGATCTTACGTATTAGTTACATCGCAAGGTGCGAAATCGCACCATAAAGCATAGAGCTATTCTACAGTTCATCTAATGTGAAGAAAAACTGAATTGTTAACATATTGTTCAGAAAGGTACAGAAAGGAATTACTAAATTGTTAACTGGTAATAAAACTCTATTAAATTTATCACTCAGTTATATCCCATGCTTAATGAATTTAACAGCAATTTCAGGTCCAGAAATCTTGTATATATCGCGCTTCTTTTCAAAGTTCAATAATTCGGTGGAGTCTCCTAGTTTTAAGTGAATTCTTCTGTTAGAAGTGTAAATATTCACTACTCTCCAGCGCAGTCAGAACTTTGAGAACTCTTGTATGGAAAATTTTTTAGTATTACATTGCAACTACTCTTGAATATGCTTCTGTAAACTACTTTTACACGTTTTGCAACTATAATACCTTAACAAAAATTTCGACTACTCATTCATTTCTGCAGGTATATGCGTACTAAAGTTATGTCCTCAAAGTTGTACACTCATGCAACTTGTTTTTTTTGCTACATCAAAACTCATTTATTATCTAAAATTTTCTATATATTCGTGTGTATATCTTCACATTCAAACATTTCACATTTTGCAAGACACATCTTCTGTCATGAATCAGGCATTACAGCTTCCGCTTCTCTAACCACATGTTTTTTTCGTTCTGCCGGAAAAACTTTTTACATTGATTATTCGCTAATTGCTGGATTCTATTTCGTCCGTAAATTTTGTGAACTTCGACTTTTATTTTTCAATGCATATGCACTGAGAAAAATATTCTAACAAAGTAGTTAAAGTTTAACAATTTTTTAATTTAATATTATTTATTATGATATAAAAAAACTGATTAGATTAAAAGATTGTTTTTTTTTAAATTTCAGTAAATGTTGTTAGTCAATAGCAAAAAAATTTTGGGACCTGTTTTTTGGACTTATGTATTTCTCCTTAGTGTATATTTGGCTATATTTTTTGGACGTGATACTGTGGTAAGTAAATATTTGGAATTATTGAAAAAGTTCGGGAGTTTTAAGTTGTAAATAATTAAAGTCGGTTTTATTTCTAAAAATAATTTTAGCTTTCATTTCGATCGTTATTTTTAGTATATATCTATACGAATTTCGGCAAATTCGTTTAGGAGAATCCCCAATATTGTAATTAGGTGTTATTTTTTACTTGATGTCCTATTATATTAAGTACAGCTAATACTGAATAATTAAGTACACATATATTAATATTAAAAATAAAATTATTATATTTTGGCTCACAGATTTTTTTGTATATGTTGTATTATTGGTTATAAGATTTTGGATTTCTTTTAAGTTTTTAAGTATTTAGTAAAACTGCAATATTGATCATTATAATGGTAATTCTAAACACGTCTTACTGAAGCAATTTAGTTAAATATTGAAAATATATTTAAACTTAAGTAACAAAAGTTAAATTTGGGACTACAAAATGGTTTAGTTACTATTTTTCAAGATTATAAATTTTCTACTTTAATTATTATTATTATTATTATTATGACATGTTCTTCATAATAAAAAAAAAATAGTAGTTATAAAATTCCTCCATTCGTCTCTATTTCTGGCAGGAAAACTTGACCGATTAAATGTTTTGTTTGTTTCGGGACGATCGGGACGGTCGGGACGACCTCTTCTCCCTACTCTTTGCGAGTTTCATTCCATGACTGCGTGGGCAGTTGCTTTTGTCGGCTTTCTAAGTGTGTGGCCGATCCAACAATATTTGCGTTTCTGAATTTCTTTCTCTATTGGCTTTTGTGTAGTGCGCTGCCATGGCTCTTCGTTAAGACTCTTGCAGGCCACCATATGTGTAGAATACGTCACAGGATTCTATTGACTTCTGAGGCGACGTTCTCGTTAGCAACCATGTTTTACACCCATATAATAATGTCGATTGTACGCAGGCGTTGAATATTCTGATCTTAGTTTTGACGCTAACATTGTTGACTTTTCAGACTTTGTTAATCGACGCGAAAGAGTCATTTGCCTTTTTCACTCTGCGCCGATGTCCTTTGACGTGCCACCATCGCTGTTGACAAAACTTCCTAGGTACTCGAATTCCTGCACGTCTTCAATGTTATGATCATACAAAAGCTAATTAGATATTTACTTTATTTCAAGGTTATAATTCTAACAACTGTAGGATTAATGACTAATTTTTATTTAAAGAAAATATTTACTTTCATTCATAGTTCCGCAAAACTTATCCCCTACATTAAAAAAAATGGAAACAATGAATTTTTTCAGCAATAGGAGCAAAAAAGAAAAATAAATATATTGTTAAAATTGTTTAAAATAAGAAAAAATATTTTTTGTAGAAAACTTCCATAGAATACTTTAAATTTTAAAAAGTTTATTACATGTTCTGTTATAACTTGTCATATCAGAATTTTTTAAAATTATGCTATCACTTTATTAAAGATGCTTTATATAACTTGGGAATTTCTAATCAAATTAGCTTCTATGATAAGTAATGTTCACCACTGTCCTGTCCTAACAGTAAACATTCATAGACAGAAATCTATCCCCTCTTCTTTCCTTAAAAGAACAACTAGAGAAATAAACAAAAACAAAAACAAAAGAGAAAAAACACGTTTTCCCGCAGGCACTTCAGCCAATTAGAGACAATAATAAATTGAAATTCACGCATTTTTTGGGCCCTAGGGAGCCGACACTTCTTCCCAACGAACGGTATTTATTTAACTTTAGGCATAAACCAATGTGTGATAATTTGACCTAAAAGGTGGTCTGAGTTTCCCGACACTACTTACACTTCACGGTAAACTTGAGTGCCGCTAGGGTACACAGCAAATTAGCTCCGTTTAAGGGTTGATTAGGCACATCAATTGAAGAAATGCTTAATTTACAGAAATTTATGTTGTATCTCGAAAACTTTTTTATATTCACAATATTCCTAATAAAAAATCGACAAAGACAACGACAACAAAAACAAAAACAATTTCCTACATATGCCAACAAACAATGAAGACGAAGTAAGGACTAAGGACTAAGGACTATGTTTTTAAGGATATTCGCTTGGTTAGATTTGGTTTCGCTACAATTTGACTGTTTTGTTGTTTTTGTTTTTGTTGTATTGTTGCACAGTAGTTGGCACCACCTTTTTTGGTTTTGGCATTAATTATGCTAAACATTTTTAAATATTGTCATCACGTGCTGCAGCTATTATTTGTTATAATTGTATCTGTTTGTATGTATCCTTTGTGGATTTGAATTGGATTTGTACCTTTGTGAAAAGGGTGTACACTTTCGTTTATTTAAATTTGAGTTTGAGTTTGGGTTTGGGTTTGGGTCTACAAAAAAGGGTCTATTTGTGGGTCGGTCGGACAGTTTAGAATGTGCCTCATCACGGCAATTACCGGTATGCAAATTTGTTTTAATACGTTTAATTTAAGCGGATTACAATTTAATATTTTTGTTTATTTATATTTTTACATATTGTCGAACATGCTTACGGAAAGATTTAACTAATTCAACGCTCATTTAGAACATAAAAGAGGGTTTAAATAAATGTAATGGGTTAATTAACGCATAAAGGGCTTTAGAGGGACTTTCAAATGAAAAACAATTTGTTTGGTGGATGGTTATAAATTTAATTAATTTAATATTATATGTGAATTGAGGTCTCTATTATGATTTTATTGCAAACAACAAAAAAAATGTGATCGGATTTCGTTTTCTTAATTTAAACCAAAATCATACATTTTATACATGATTAATCATATATTTTATATATGATTAATCATATATTTTATAGATGATTTTTCCAATATTCATATAGAAATTTAATAAAGTCAAATAATTAAATACAAAACTTTAGCTTCCCATTATCAAAGAAAACCTAAAAAAACGCTTCAAGTGATTTTTCAAATGATTTTACTAATGTCAGACTATATGTGTAAAACTCAGCGATAAAGTTTTTTGAAATTAAAGGGTTTCCATCTTATATCTGATTTAAAACTTCGCATTTTGAAATATTGAAATATTACCTTTATTAATATGACCATAATTAAAAAAGCAATTAAATAAAAAGAGGTAAATAACTTTTCAAATTTTATGTTTCTTAAAGACAAATAAAAAATACCCTTCGGGTTTCACACATTAAGCGATCTCCTGAATCAGGGCCTATGACTACCCATCCTGCTCCTCTTCTTTAGTACGTAGTATATTTCAAAATGTAAAAACTGTTTGATTCCAAATAGTTCCAGACAGCCGCTTCTACTAATTATGGGAACAGCTATTAGAAGACAATTAGATAACAATCATTGTAATATTTTTATTACCTCCAAAACTTCATTAGTATCAACTTTATATTATTAGGAAGCTATTAAAACACCAGTTCCTGTAAAAATTCATTCACGCCTATCTAAGGAAATAGATATGCGTGTTTCACACATTTTATTGACCTAAAACAGGGGGTATGACCCATCCATCCTATTTTTTTCATTACCTAGTTGAATTTAACAAATAAAAATGTTTTGTTTTAAATAGATTCTGATTGCCAACTCTACTAATTAGCGGAGCATATATTGAACGTTATTAAAATTGCAACTATCTTTGTAATATTTATATTATCATAAAAACTTCATCATAACATCTGATAACCTATCTAATGTGATCTAACATCTGAGAAAACTATTAAAGCACCAGTTATTGAAAAAGACCAATCTGAACTGAATAGTGTTGTGTGCTTTCAAGCTATTTTTTTAATTTTGTGTTTTTATGTACCTAAACAAGAAAATTATGATACAGGGATACCATATGATGCTTAGACTAATAGTAAAGACAAATATTTTGGACCCAAATAGACACAAACTGAATAAATTTTGATCCTAAGGAGCCCTACGGCTGAATATGTTTTTTCCCTGTGCAATATGCGTTATACTTAATGGAACAGTAAATAATTATAAATAATAATTAAATAAATAAATAAATAATTAAATAATTAATTAAATAATTAAAAAAGACTTAGGAGGAAAATGGAATTATTTAGCATATATATATAGGGAATATATGTTTAGAACTTAGACGACTCATTTGCATACATATTAACATACAGTAGCATACATATAGTTTAAGGAATTGAAGTATTAAATAACAATTTCCAACTTTTTTTTTATATTTTAAACGTTCTTTAACGTTACAAAAAATTTGTACAACATTAAGACCACATTTTCTTGATCAACATGTGAAACTATATTAATCAAATAGACTATTTATCTATATATTTGTCTGTATGTGGATAACTTGCTTCCCAACAAATAGAGCTGATCTAAAAATATTTGCAGCAGAGAAATTTTGTAAATACAGGAAATATGAAAAAGAATAAAATTGGATGACTATACTAGATAGTTCCAGTGATAAATATCAACTAGAACATGCTTGTATTTATTAACTCGGATTTAAACACAAAAACAAATTTGATAATAAAGCACAAAAAAAAATAATAATTAAATTAATTACAAATCAAAAACATACTTTTTTTTGTTCTTATAATAATTCAACATATATTTAGTAGTACATAAATCGATTATATTACAATAAAAAAAAATAATTATACATTCGATATAAAAACAATAAATTATTTGACTTTAATGTATATGTGGCATTAAGTAAGACAAGAACATTAAATCAGAAGATATTTACAACCTCTTAGAGCTCAGGGAAATTATTCCAAAATCTGTTTTCATCTTTCCATATTACGACCATAAATATATTCTAAAATCGTAACATTATGTATCTTAAAAAATGAAAAGTGCAAAATCCTTTTATTCTAGGATTTCGCACAATTGCTTTGTAAAATCGCACAAATCACTTTTCATCTCTTCAATTCACTACAAAATATGCTATTAGCATATAAAAGCAATAAAAGAAATGGTTTATAAAATGTTGTTAAGCTACAAAAAAGGAGCAACCGGAGAAAACCACCGTTGCTACAATGTACCCAG